GAGGGCGGCGCGGCGGCCCTGGGGCTTTGGCGGCCTCGCACCAGGCCGGTGCGGGTGTGAACTGCTGCCTCGTTGGCGAAGGCAGCTGCGCCCTTGTCGAGGCGGAGCCTGCGCCAACCGCGGCGCGCAGGGGCTGGCGCGTTTTGTGGTGTTTTGCCTCTTAGGGGCGGTTGGTTTATGCTTCGGCTTTTTAAAACTTCAGGGTTCAATTTCTGCTTTATCATCGTTGCTTCGCTGCTGAAACAAATGCAGCGCCGCTAATAGCACAGATGGAGCAAAAAGCTGCAATGCTGCTCTTCAGCTGACACAGTGCAAAGTTATGTGCCCCTACGTGAAAGGGACTGAAGCGTGAAGTGGATGTTCACCCTGTGGTGTCTCACTGCAAATAACATCGCTGGTCTTTTGAAGCTGGGGAAATAAAAGTGTTAAAATACTGCACTATGCTATTACTGTGTAGTAACACTGTTATGGAAAAGTGATAAGGCTATTCTGCAAACTTTCTTGTTAGTGGATGCCCTTACACTTTAAGCATACTTCTCAATCTTTTGCTAGTGTTTTGGCTATTTTTTTTTTTTAAGTTAACCCAAGGAAGTACTGTGTTGGAAACATTGCTTGACCTTGAGAGGAACAGGTGAATTGCAATTGTAGTAGTAAATAAATGCTCTTTCACTAGCTGAAGGTCCTACTGTTGCTGTATTTGTCATGACTTTTATATTGCTAGTTTCTGCACATCCTCAAAGTACACTTTTACTGAACACTTTCCCCTGTTTTCACTACTGCTCTTATACTCTTGTTATTCGTCAATATTTGTGGGTTTTTCATTGTTTCTGTTAACATGAACACTAAAAAACGCATATAAATGCAACTGAGTAAAAATAGTTATCTTTGAGCATAATTGCCCTATGAAATAAAGAGGTCCAGGTTAGTGCTCTTCTAAGTACTGTTATTTTCTCCAGAAGTTTTAGCTTCTCTCGTTTTGCACAGCACGCTCATTTTCTTTGTCTTCTATCAGTTTTTAGTTCAGAACTTGTCTTACATGTAGCACTGGAATGGGATTCCATGAACTCATGTTTTACAGGATTTTGGTTATCTGTGTCCCTCATGAACTTTCATATCTAGCCTTAGTTCTTGCTGGGCAGGGGTGTAGAAGCATTGGCCATATTTTTTTCCCCTCCTAACTTTTCTTACCTTTTAAGCAGTAGCTCTGTGTTCTGTTTGTTTTTATTTTAAGATATTAAGATATTTTAAGATATTTTGAAGAATTTGGTCACGGTTCTCTCACTTAAGCTGGAACTGTGGCTTAATTGCTTTCTTTGATTGTATACATGGTGTTTTATTGAAGTTTTGGATCTGAAATTTGTGGACTACTTTCAAGAAAAAATGTGTATGTGTGTGTTTATATTTCTATACTTACAGTTTTCAAGGGAAGTAGGTATATATATGCATTTCAAAGGAAAGTCTATTGTTGGTAGGTTTATGTTTGTTATACTGGAGTCTGTACCTCTTCTGGAAAATATTTGTGAGGGGTGGGAGGGAGTTGAATGTTGTTGCTGGCGTTGAGGCTGACCACTAGCGGGATTCCTGGAATGCATGATCCACTTTAGCTAAAAAACTGAAAACTTGGAAGCTAATTGTGCTCTAAAAATGTATGTAGACGTTTCTTTTGGCAGCAAAGGCATTCTGAGCAAATCCTGTGTATCTCTTGTCAACTCTATCCCCCTTCCACAGTTATGATTCCTTAGGCTACTAGTTTTTAGAGCTGTCAGCTATTCTGGGACAATTGTTTGTAGGCCAAGTTATTTTTAACCTGTGTTGGTTCACTTCAGGCTCTGATGGAAAGTTGTACTAGCACAATTTGGGGAGCAATACAGGAGGGCAGGAACTCCTTAGACAGTGTTTGTTGCCAGAAAAAATTATTGGTGGAAACACAATGGTCATAGGATTGGAGTTTTTTTAAAAACAAGATCTGTAATATTCTGACAATTCCATTTTTAAAGCTGGGCCAATTTTTGAATTCTCTTTTAACATTATCTTAACATCTTCAGCATTTTATGTTCATTACAATATAAATAAGTTGGTTTATCTCTGTTGCTCCTGAGAAAAGGAAGATCAGTTTCTTCTGCCTTTCTTGCATTGACATTAGTGCTGGTCTGAAAGGCTGAGTGGAGAGTGGGGGTCAGATTTAGAGAGCTAATCTGTCAGAGAGCTCTCATTCTATGTGAATTATTTTCACTCTGTCTTAACCAGTTTGCTTTGTCAACTAAGTGCTGCATCAGCACAAGAATGTGAGAAGTAGCAGTGCTTTTTTTCATGTTTTAAGCGGTGACCTGTTATATCTGACCATCAATTGAAGAGTATTTCTAGTCTTGCTCTGCTAAATTTCTTTGTTTGCTTTGTTTATCTGCAGTAGTCCAGTGCTGAATTGGATGTTCATGTGTTTAAGAAAATTGCCAATTAGTTTCAAGGATTTAATCTCTTATATGGAATTAATTTTGGGATTTTCACCCAAAATTATCTTGTTTCTTCTCCCATCCCACATCCTTTACTGAAAAATAGAGGCATCAAATAAATCAAGGTTTCTGGTGATAGTTTTGGCTCAAAAGCTTTTGAAACTTCCATGGGCCCCTGGTCCTAGTTCTCACTGAGATGAGCTGGTGTTTTTATGAAAATACTAATCTGCAAAGTTGCTCTTGTCTCATTACACATTAGACTGATGGTAGCATTTTTTTTTAAATAATAGAAGTAGTTTTATACTCCTTTATTGCTCAGAAATGTTTTCAAGATCGTTTTGGAGGATGTGACTAGAAAAGGGAAAATGTCATTGGTTGTCACAGTTAAAAACAGAAACAGTTGTGACAAATGTTGCTTATATTTTGTTTAATTCCCCAGGGTCACATAATATTTTTTGTTACTCTCTTCAAACAAGCCTTCCTCCACCACTACAGTAGGAGCCAATCACCAAGCATTAGGGACCCAACCTTATGAAAGTCTATACAAAACTTACCCTGTTCATATTGATTATGGGGATATTACACAGTGTTTTTAAAGTTTTAAGAAAATCTTATATGTAAAGTCGTGGCAAAACTTTATAAAATTTGTGGGAGGGTGGTAGTGTATTTTTTCTATTCACTTATATATTTTTTTATTATAATATTTCAAGAGAGCAGAGCTTTAACTAGTGTTTAAGTGGCCCGCTTGTGCTAGATACATTACATTCTTCATCAGTCTTTGAATCACTAACCTGATATAGAAGTATGTTTAAAGAGATACTATTTTTTTTTTTTTTTTTTTACTGTTTTATTGATTTTGAGTGATGACTGGTGGGTTTTACCAAAAAAGATTTAAGTGATGTGATGATTTTTAGGTTTTCCTTTTTTGTTTGCATAGTTTACCCCTTCTCTCCCTTCCACCTTAGTGAGAAAATGTGTTTTGGAGTAAATTATCAGGAAAGTGATGTATTGTCAGTCTTTAAAGGTCTTTTAGATTGGATGAGGTTCAAGCTGTATGAAACAGAGATAAGTAGGTTGTCAGTGGGAATACTATTTTCAAGTGCAGTAATGCGTTGTTTTTGTTTTTTTATTGCTCTAGTCTCGAGATGGCAGAATTGTTTATGGAATGTGAAGAAGAGGAGCTAGAACCATGGCAAAAGAGAGTGAAAGAAGTGGAGGAGGATGATGATGATGATGAGCCTATCTTTGTTGGGGAAATCTCAAGCTCAAAGCCGCCTAGTACATGTAAGATATTAATTTATCCTTTTTAAATTACAGAAAATGTTACAAAATGTTATTTTAGGGTGGAGAACTTTAGAATTACTTGAAAATATGAAATTTTTAACTGTAAGTTTTAAGGAATTTTAAGTTTTAATGTTTATTCCTATGTCATATACAGAAAATTGGCATTCTTAGGAAATTGTCCTTCTGAAGGCCCAGGTTTCTTATAAGCTGTGTGTTCTTGCCAAACTTAAATCTCTGAAGTCAAAACCAGGGCCCTTGAATACTTTAGCTAGAATGGCATGGCTCAAGTCCCTTATATACAACACTGAAGCATGTGTTTGTTCTCGGGATAGTTACCACCCAGGTGGATACATGTGTCTCCCTATTGAAGTAGTCTACATGAATTTAAGTTGCCATGTGAAGATGCTCACTTTTCTGCACCCCACATTTAATGTGTTGGTAGGCAGTATGAATGACTAGGTGTCATTCTGACAATGCCAAGTTCAAGAGCATGTAGTAAGGGCATAATCAGGAAAAGTTATTAATGTGAAAATTGTAGGAGGCTCTCTGTCAAGTAAGAGATTTGTATTAATTCATCCATCACCTGTAAAATAAGAGTTTTGTTTCATCAAGCTCTGTAGTTTTCTCCTAATGCAGGCAGTGCAGGGAGTGAGTTAGGTGGTTGGGATATCAGCAGCTGTGTCAGGATTCCATGTGTGTCCTGAACTTTGCCTTTGACAGGTAAGTAAAGGAGAAAATTATTTTTATTACTTAACTTTAGTAATGAGATTTTTAAAACTCCATATGCAGCTATCTTGTAGTTGATTATTGAGGTTTGATTTCAGAGTTCTCTGATTATTCAATGCACAAGACTGCCTGCAGAAATTATTAGCTTTCTCTTTCTGCTTCATCCCTGCTACACTGGTATCTGAGATTCATAAAAATGTTTACAGTTTGCAGTCCTGCACCTTCAGGCAAAATGCTAGCTAAGGGTTTCTGTCACACTTTACTGCAGAGACTTTGAAGCTGCTTACTAGATCTTTAGACCTATAGTTCATAGCAGCATGGTTTGTTTCTCAGTAGTGATTTACCTTGACTCTTCCTGGGATTGTAAGTCTTGCACTAGTTTAAAAATACATGACATGTTAAATATTAAAGTAGTATGGAAGTTGTTAAAAGTTGTCTCACTTAGGAGTAGTTCTTCTACGGGTATATCTCCTTAAATATTTTTAAAATGCTTTAAAATAGATTGTCCTTTTCAATACCTGAAAAATATTTGAAAATAAGTTTCTGCAGAGATATAAACTTCTCTTTTTTTTTTTAAAAAAAAAAAACCCTAAATTCCCCAACCCCTCTCAAAAAGAAAATCATCACCACTATACCCCCCACCCCCTCACCCCCCACCCCAAAACAAAGAAACAGAAAGCCTTGCTGTTTTCTGGAAGTCCAGAGACTTGTGGATTGGTGTTGGTCATGTTAAGAACAGGTAATGGAATAAACAAAGGTAAAGGGTGTTAGGCATAAATTGGAGCAACAAATATGCCAGGCTTCCTTGCATTTCTTTTAGCTTCAAAATTCTTTTTGTTTATTTTGATCATAAAAGACAAATATATGTTTCAAGTGAAAGCTATCTTTCTAATATAATTTACCAACTTTAAGAACTTCTGCAAAAAATACAGGCTTACAGTGTATGTGTCATAGTGCTGTCTACATCCAGTCCTTACCCGAGTCAGTTACGGTATAACTTTATCTTTCTTCTTTTAATTTCCTTAACTTTTCTATTTAATCTCCTGCTTGACTGTCAAAAACAGCTATGGAAGAATGACATCAGTTCTTCTCTGGCTTGTAAGTAGTATTTTCTGGCAGTAGTCTGCAGAATCATCCCTGCTGGTAGCAGACAAGCCACAGTGAATTCACCCTGGCTTATCACTCTTACTTATTTGTTACTTGAGAATCTCTGATCAGATGACAAATGGATGCTTTCATGTAGCTCTTTACGTTTTCCATGAAATAGTTTATTTTCAATATACAGCAGTCTTTTTTAACTGTCTTCTGACAATGCAATAATCACTTCTATGCAGCCTTGTGTGGAAAATTGAAGGAAAAATGAAGAATGCCCAAATTGTACAGGCTGACAGTGTTACGTACAACACTGTCAACACTTAAGTGTCTCTTCCTTCTGTACTGGAGGGTTAGTTTGACTGGGATGATAAGTAAATAATGCTTTGTTCACTTCGTGTAGTTTTATCCATTTACCGACCTTGCTTCTTCACAATCATATATAGCTGTAAGTTGTCCCTGTTTAAAAATACTCTTCTTTGTCAGATTTCTTATAGTTCAGTGCAGTTTTACCTAAGACATGACAAATAATACTTGCCTGAAGGTGAGTATGCTTTGTTAGCTGTAACTCTTCCTTACAAGTGAAGGAAGGCTTTAGTTGCTTTAACTTCATTTTGCTCTAGATTTCCAATGTGGGATATAGATTTATTAGCGAGCATTAAAAAAGCTACATGTGTACAAATACATGTTCAGGTAGAACTGCAGAAGTGAATCCTTACTCATGTATAGGGTCATATTAAACTAGAGTATCATTACTATTACAGAAGAAAATTTCCTTATATCTTAGAAACATGCAGACCTGTCTGGATCTGTTGGTTGCAGCTGCCTTTTCATGAGCAAATCACAAAAATGGTTGGTATGATCAAAATGCAGGTTACAGGCTGAGAGCTGTGGGTTTTTTTTTTGTTGTTGTTTTCTTCCTCTTAGATTTTTTTTTTTAATTAACATGAATACTGCATACTCGTGAGCCATTACCTCTGGAACCAGACTTACATATTGTTCTTAACAAGTGTAGGTGATCTATGACCTCTTGCCTGATGTTATTTGGCCGAGGTCTGAGGAGTTACTTAAGTCTTATTGGATAGATATTGGAGGTTCTCATTTCATATGCATATTTTCACATGTCTGTGCAAGAAACTTTATAGCTATATTAGCTGAGAACCTGCTGGTAAAAGAGAATTTTGATTTGAATATTATTTCAATGTTCTGAAATGAGCAGAAACTTAAAGTTACAGTAGTTGAATTACTTGGCAAATACTGGTTTTGTTGTAGAGGTTAGGGAGGGAGCATCAAATCTCCAGAAATTCAATACCTTTCTGAAGCTGTTACTCTAGACTACCATACTGGATATAAAACAAAACTGTCCCACTTGTAATGCAGCTCCAATATCACCACTTTGACTTCCTTTCTTACTGGAAGTTAGAGCATAAAAACAAGACTGTAAATGGGTACCATCCTTCATTTTCCCGTAATGCAGGAGTACTTGGTTATTGATTTAGAGGAAGTACTTCCTGTCCTGTAGATAAGTTTTTGTATCTGGGGAAATTCTTGTTATAGATATGACAAGCTGAAGTGAGCAAATGTATCTCTTTATATTTTGTAATCCTCAGGGCTGAATATTTTGGATGTTCTTATTTGTTTCTTTTATGTGTTACCTTGCTTCCAACAAAATAAAAACTAAGACTTTGGTGAATTCGTTTACTTGGGGGGAGGAGAGGGGAAGACTATATCTTAATCTGTGCAACTGATGTTTTGTTTTGCCAGGTATTTATTTTAGAAATCATCTTCTAATATATGTCAAATCCTAATTGGATTAATTTGTGGATATAAATGGTGCTTTTAATTTGCAAAGCAATTAATTATCTGCAATTAAGACAAATGTAACTTTTGACAGATATATTGAACAGAGTCAACCTCAGCTCATCACGAAGGGGAATACAGAATGGTGCAACCAGTAGAGGTACTATGTTGTCCTAATACGGTAATAAAAAAAAACTCTTATAAAAAAATGTCTGATTGCAATATTGTATAAAAATAACTTTGGAATCCTTTGTAACAGGTACAGTTACTACATTCAAGCCTGACAGTCAGCATTATGCGACACCTGCCTCCAGCCCCAGTGCCATGCCTGTTTCATCAGTTTTTCAGGCCGTATCTAGATCTACAAGTAGTTCTGTAGCAGTTCAACCCTTGTCTAGAGCAGTGAATGTCTCAGGAACTTCACAGACATTGCAGAGGCCAATTGCTGGATGTTTATCAACACAGCAGCTGCCCCGGTCAAGTTCTGGAATCCCGCAATCTGTCAGCAGACCTGTAACCATTCCAGTGACGACACAGCCAGTATCAAGAAATATTACCATTCCTGTAGTGGCTCAACCGATACCAAGGCCAATGATCACTGTAACAGCACAGCCTGGAATATTAGATCAGGTAAACTCTTATTCCCTTATTCTGTTAAAACACACAGTAGCTATTACTTTTGAATAAATTAAAAAGGAACATACTGGCTTGCTTAGTTTGAAGAGCTGGACTAGAATATAAACCAGTTTTACATAAACTGTAGGGGTTCTAGCACCATAAACTTGCACTGAGTTAGAAATACATTTGAAAATATTGATTTACATATTTATACTAGATCTAAAATGTCACAGATTCAAGGAGGATAACTTTGTTTAGTATCAGGAATTATATTAAATGAAACTCTTACACATAAGAAATCTTAACAAAATTCTCCACAAACATTCAAATCTTTATTTTGCTTAGGAGCAGATTAAATTTCACAGATTTTTGTTTTTGCTCAAAGAAAAATGGTGGAAAAACTATAGTTTGCATTTTGCCTTTTAAGTAATTTTTCATTTTTTTTCTGTCTGACTCTTACAGTGACTTTCTTGTGTGTGGTGGTTCTGTTTTGTTTTGGCTTTAGGGAATGTTATAGTGGTAGCTACTTAGCTATTTTAGCTTTTTGGTTTGCTTGGCAGTTGTAGTGAAACAGATAAGGAGGAATTAAATATGCTATAGAAGTGTTTAATTTACTAACTCTGCAAGTTTTATTTTCTTTGGACAGTCCAAGGGAAATGTGCATGTAGATCGTGGGTCATAGGCGTTCATGGAGAACTAGCAAATCACAGAATCATAACTTTCAGCTAGAGTACAGCTTTTCTTGTCCTTGCTATGGGTATTTTAGAGAAAGAAAGAAGATAATTTTACTTGCATGAAACAAGTGTCTAAGGACTGCAAAGTTGAATCACTGTCCGATTCATCAGGAAGAACTCATACTTTCCAGTTTTGAATCTTCAATAGGTGCTTAAGTGACTTACAAAGACAAATTTGGGATATGTCTGGTAAAGTGGGTTAGCTAAATCAGTGTTTTGTTCACTATAGTTAAAAGGCCTAGAATAATGATATAGTCAAAATGCTAGACATCACTAGGATATTCAGACTGCCTGTTGAGTCCTCTTGTAATCTGCTGTTATAAAACAGGCCAAGTGATAGCGAAAGACCTGTTATACCACAGTGTATATGTATATTTAAAGTTTGAATTTTTATCTTTAAATTTTTACTCATGACTTAATATGCTTTATTAAATCCTTGATGCTAAAAGGAGATCCTCCAAAACAGTGCTAGGATGTCTTGCGGAGTCTTTGCTACGGAAATAGCCTCCCTTATTCCTGGCTTCTCTTGTGTGTACATTCCGTTTTTGTTGGGATAGATCAAGTTGTTAGTGGCCTTTTCGTTGATCATCTAGGAAAACATTATAGACTTAATTATACTTTTGGGGGGAATTCAACTGCCTTCAGTCTATGCAGCTTGGATGTAACTCATCAAGACAGTATTTTTTCTTGGAAGGTTAAAGACAGTAAAAACATTGCTGATTTTTGAGGCTTTTTCTCATTCAT